ATCATGTGCTGCTTGCGCAATACGTAAGCACTGCAGGGACATCGTACGTGCACTCGGGTGCAACCTAAGCTTTCTTTTTATAGCCACGAATTTCTTAATCAGTCTTCAATCTTCTAATTTACTGCTTTTTGCGTAGAAAAGCTACGTCGAAATTCGTCTACGTTGAAATAGAAAGCAGAGATGAAAACGAAGTATGCAGATGTGATAAGCACAGTTTACCGTAAACGTATTAAAATTAATTTGGGAATTAATGCGAGAATTCTAGCGCAGTAAATGTGCCTACCTACACCGGGTTGATCGGTTAACATATTAATACCGAGCAAATTTAATGAATGCGTTAAAGCAAGCTACGTGACTTCGCTCACTTTAAACGCCATCACGGTCGATCAAATATTTTGCAGAGGTTAATAGACGCTTAAGTTCGAAGCTCGGCGACGCACGGTGCGTTAACATAATCATTCGATTAAACAGATTGTCGGTCTCGATCGACACAGGAGCATACACTCCGTCATGGATGCCGGAGAAAATTTTTCGTCGCGAATCTGAATTTGGAAAATTCAGAACTCAGCGATTTTTAATTGTAGATTTAGAAATTTGATGATGTAGTAGGTAATTGAGTAATTGAAAGACCGATAAAGCGGAGAAATTGATAAATTTACTCATTGAGAAATTAACAGATTGATAAATTGAAAACTTGAGATATTGACAAGTAGAAGAATTGAAAAATTGAAGAATTGAAATAATGGATGAATTGGAAAAATTGAAGGATTGAAAAAGTTGAAGAATTAAAAAAATAAAAAAAAAAAATGAAAAATTGAAATAATTGAAGAATTGAAGAATTGGAAAATTGAGAAATTGAGAAAATGAAAAGTTGAAAAACTGAAAAATTAAAAAATTGAAAGATTGAAAAATTGAAAGATTGACAGATTGAAACATTGAAGAATTGAAAAACTGTCAAATTGAAGAATTGAAAAATTGAAAAATTAAAATTGAAAGATTGAAAGATTGAAAAATTGAAAAATTGAAAAATTGAAAGTTTGAAAAATTGAAAGATTGAAAAATTGACAGATTGAAACATTGAAAGATTGAAAAATTGAAAGATTGAAAAATTGAAAAATTGAAAAATTGAAAAATTGAAAAAATGAAAAAATGAAAGATTGAAAAATTGAAAGATTGAAAGATTGAAAGATTGAAGAATTGAAAAACTGTCAAATTGAAGAATTGAAAAATTGAAAAATTAAAAAATTGAAAAACTGTCAAATTGAAGAATTGAAAAATTAAAAAGTGGAAGAATTGAAAAATTGAAAAACTGTCAAATTGAAAAATTGAAAAATGTACAAATCTACAAATAACAAAACTTACAAGTCAAAAAAGATTGCAAGTCTGAAATTAAGAGCTAAAAAAATATCTTCAAAATTCCCATGTATGAAGTTCCACGCGATGTACAGTAATCCACGCATTACACACAATTTGTGTCCGCTCCGGTCGCCTCGCCACAAGAGCTTTTCACTTTTCCACGAACAAAACCGGGGAATTCGGTGCATCACTATCGTTCTATACAGAATACATTTTCCCCCCCGTTACGAAACGTGCATCCGAAAATTGTGTTTTCATTGCAGCGAATAAATTACCGTAATAACGAGAACTGATTTACTTGAAGCCTTTTTCGCTGGGAGTTCAAAGGCTGCAGAGATATTTCTGCATAAACGTGTTTCTCTTTCATTTTGGTTTGATTTTATAGCGATAAATGGTCTTCTGTTTAACCATCCCCTTTTACTGTTTTGACTCGTTCCTTTGAAATTAATTTACCCTCTCACATAATCGCATTCGTTATTTACATGTTTATTATTGTCTATCATTTATTTTAATCGAGTTAAATGCAGAATGTATCGTTGAATAAATGTCATTAATCAATTTTAAATAAATCCGAATTATTGAAATTATTTTGTAAAATATGTTGGTCAAAGACTTGGTTCACGATTTATTATTTTGTTATTTAAAATGTATTATTTTATTACTTATGAAAGATTACAACATTTATTATTTTATTGTTAAGAGGAGTAACAGTTATTTTAATTTTAATTTATTTTAATATTAAACAGAGTGATGGCTGTTATTATTCTACCACGTAAAAGAGGTATAATAGCATCAATTACTTTATTATTAAAAAAAGTGTAATAATATTTTATTAAGTTTGTAATAACTTTTTTCATTCTGAATTTTCACCTCACTTTTATCTGGTTACACGGATACGTTCACGGAAACATAGATACCTTCGTAATAAAAAACCGAGTGGTACAGAGTCTGACCTAAATTCGATATAATTTGTTGTAAAATTTATCTCGTTATAGTTGGTTGCATCCACTTGCTTGAAAATATTGCGTCGGATATTGTAGTCGTGCAAACAGTGACGCGAAACAAATTTTTTATCGTTTTAACTGTTATTTTTCTACGATGTTATATTACCCTCGTTCCACTGCTTTCACTTTGTCGTTTGCAATGCAATCTCTATCAACGTCGAACGAGGAGACATGTTTCGAAAATCTGCATGAAAATGCTGCGATCGATTCGAACGTACGCCCTTCATTAATCAGTTGCGTACTTATATTTTCAACGATATCGATATTTCTTTATTTTTGTCGACAATGATTTATCTTTTGTCCTGTTGAATATTTTACACACAGTGTGACATCCTATACACTCTTACAATTTTATAATTATTTGTTTGTGGATATTATTTTGTCACAAATTAATTTCTTTTTATAGATGAAATTATTTTTGTAGGTACATTTTATAAATTTTGTACTTTGTAAATATTTTGTTTGGTTAATTTTACGAGTCAGATCTGCATGGTTTTTATATGCATTAATATGTTGTATGTGTATGAATATGTAATCACATATGTATATGTATATGTGTACGTATGTGTGATACACATATGTATATATAGATGCGTGGCTTTATAGTATGTTACATAAACATTAATATTATATAAGACTATATAAATGTTACACATGATTATACACACATGGTTATACACACAGATATATAACATATTAAAGAAAGAGACATACACATATGATACATGTAGTTAGAATAACGTATGTCATACATTTGTGGGTATAAGTATGCATGTAACAATCAATATACATATACATATATGTATCACTCTAAATATAAAATATATGTACCTATACATATACATATCTACACATATGTATGTCTGCAGAACATATGTACATATGTGATTATCACACAATCTAACAAATAAAATGAACAGACTAATATTACCAAAATTGCTATCACCATTTTCTAATATACCATTAGCAACAACATTTCACAAATTGTCACACATAATTTTAATTTTTAATATTAATACCAAACTTGCAAATTATAATTCATTATGCCACTCTGCATACGGTAGCTAAAAACGATGTGTGCACATTAAATATTCATTTCCACCGCTGTAAAAGTGTTTGTTTCTTCTATAAAAGTTTCTTTTCGCGAAAAATAATTAGATTTCGTGTTGACACGATGTACACACAGTTAATATACCACGCTAAAAAGGATTTTTATTTGAACACGCTATCTGTGGCTATCTCAGGAAGTTGTTGACTTTAATTGGTTTGTTTTGTTATAGCCGTAGCAATTAAATGTAATTATAGTTAATTCTCTTTTGGATTATTCCAAACTTGTACGTTAATTTACTGTGCAAGGTTTTATCCAAAAGTGAATTCTCTTTAATGACTAACACTTTTAATTAAAGTTCTGAGGTATAAATTTTAATGCACGATAACTCGTGCTAATAATTTTGTGGAAAGGTGGAAAGAGAATGTGTGTGAAATTTTAACAAGTTTTTGTTAGAACATTAATGTTATTGATATTTAATTTTATTAATATATTATGGCATTAATATTATCTTATGTCGCTAATAATTTTGTGAGAGGACCACTTAAAAATAACTACAAAATATAAATATTTTTTTATTAAGATATTAATATATTTTTCAGTATAAATATTGTCAACATAATATATTAAAAGATACTTCAAAATTTCTGCGTTTTTGAAGAGATAATTTACCATCTTATTGCCAACTTAATTATTTACATTGTCCGAACAGTATTTTGCACAGCAAACATGAGCTAATATAGGAAGCAATTAATGTAAATGCGTTGCGCAACGTAATTAATTAACATACAATTAACACATTAATACATTATACACTCGTACGTATTCTCGCATAATTCTCCAATTTCCTAAAGAAATTTCATATTACACAATGACTATACAAAAACTTTCACCATCGAAATTTAATGTCAATAAGTTTCGGTAAGAAAAATAAAAGGTAATAAAATTCTTTAATCTCACTTTAACAAATCTAAACAGATCTAAAAACACATTCTCGACGAACTTTAACACTCTACACGTCACCTATGTATGGGTGACACATAAATTTCCATATGAATCACCTATGCTGTTTAGGAATTTGTTTACTTACAATGCTTGTATTACTTTGAACCGTGAATAACAAATACAATCACAAAAATAGCTAGTAACATTAAAAACTAAAAATTTCAAAAGTTAAAATTAAAAATTTAACCACAAAATTTTCAACTGCCCCTCAATGTGACAGTCAACGTAAATCTAAATTTTCCCCTTATTCTAGAGAGTTGCAGACTGTAACTTTGCAAACTTATTACATTCGATATAGTGATTGCACAAAGTTCGAACGAGATCGGTGTATCGAAGTTCGTATCGTTTCCTTATTAGACCGCTTCGATAACCGGCATACACAAAGCGTATTTGCACAACAATAAGCGAAAAATGAAACTGTTCAGATTTTATCATTTCGAATGACAGTATCGTTATGATAGAGCCGTGATCGGTAAGTGGCCAGTGCGCTCGTATCGCGCATGCGTGCACGCATGCCTGCGCTGGAATCCGCGGCTGTGATTGGTCGACGTCAGAAGACTCGGAAACTGCTGGCTTACAGGTACAACTCGTGCAACTGAACCAGTCTCGCGGCGAGCGTCGTACAGTGCGTATTGTCCGAGAGAGTGGTGTTGTGTAGAATCGATTAGTATCGATTCGAGTGAGTTTGAAAACTTCCGCGAACTCGAGCGTCGTGTGTGCGTGACAGGCGACGTGTGACACTTCTCGCGCGCCAACTGAAAACGCTGGATTTAAATTGGCTCGTGAAAATTTTAAGGTCAGCAACACTTTTACAAACGGAGCTATTCGTGCGGAAAGAAAATGCGAATACGTTTTGTTTCTTGCGTGTTGACGTTTCGATTACCTTCTCCCGCCTATTTTGTTCGAGGACGGTGAGAAAAGGGAGAAAAGCTTTTGAAAAGTTGGTATATTTGGAGGAGTTTTGAAAATTTGGTATATTTGGAGGAGTTTGATATTTAATCGCGCTTGTGTTATGTTCTTTTAATTGTACAGGGTGTTTCAGTATTGGAGAGTGGAGGAGGGTTTTATGGGAAATGTTATAATGAGGTTTTGTGAGGGAAATATAGGATTTGAATTTTTATTGGTGTTTGTAATATTCTTGGAAGGAATTTTGTAAAAGGAAAATTTGATGTAATTTGCAGATAATTTAGTAATTTATGGATGGTGGGAATTAATACATCGGGTGATTAATAACAGTGGAACGTATTATTAGCCATTACTTTTTATGACTTTATCGATACGGTAATAGCTTGATGGTATAAATCGCTGGTGTGATAAATATGTGGTTAACTAATAATGAGGATATAGGGAAATAGGAATATGGAGGTCTAGAGCAATGGTGGACAGATCAAGGAATTGAAGATTTGAGAATTAAGAAGTTAGGAATTTAACAAGTTAGGGATTTAGAAAGATGGGGAATTAGGACGATGGGGATTTAGGAAGATGGGGAATTAGGACGATGGGGAATTAGGAAGATGAGGAATTAGAGAGATGGGGAATTAGGAAGATGGGGAATTAGAGAGATGGCGAATTAGAGAGATGGGGAATTAGGAAGATGGGGAATTAGGACGACGGGGAATTAGGAAGATGGGGAATTAGAGAAATGGGGAATTAGGAAGATGGGGAATTAGGAAGATGGGGATTTAGGAAGATGGGGAATTAGGAAGATGGGGAATCAGAGAGATGGGGAATTAGGAAGATGGGGAATTAGAAAGATGGGGAATTAGGAAGATGGGAAATTAGGAAGATAGGGAACTAGGAAGATGGGGAATTAGAAAGATGGGGAATTAGGAAGATGGAGAATTAGGAAGGTGAGGAACTAGGAAGATGGGGAATTAGGAATTTAGGTAGTTGAAATTTCAATATTCCAAAAGATTGAAATTTAGAAACCCAGAAAGATGATATGAGTAATTACACAACGTGAGAATGAGCAATTTTGTTACTTCCATGCCTTGAAATTTCAAAATTTGTCTAATTCGACACTTTCTAATTTAACTCCATAATCCAACAATTTGAAGATTTACTAATTCCTCAAATAAAAATTACTGAATAATAATTTGCAAATTTGAAATTATTGTAATTCATTAATTTTACAATTTTCTAACTAGAAAATTTATAAATCTGACAATACATGAATTTGAATATCTGACAATGATTGTATACATTTTCCAATTTGCCACATAAATTTAGGCTCGTCATCAACATACACGTTAGAAACGAGACAATCATCGCTGTTAGTTATTTTCTACTCAACGAGAAGTCAGATCGAGACCTGTTACCTCTATAGGAACTTGTTAGTATGAAATTCAACGCTTGGCTTCTCAAGACGAGTACGATTGACAATCAGCGGTGCAATTCTCTTCAATTCAGTCCACCGCTGCGAGAAACTTCTTTGGTAATTAAGCTGTTTGCTTGTCGAATCGTTTTGAATGTGCTTCGTTGCACGATTCGCGATAACGTTGCACCGACATTTGTACAGATTATCGACTGATAAAACAACTACATGTATCAGTCCTTCATAATTTATTGATAATCTTTTCTTTTTTTATAAACGCAGATTTAGTTGAAGCCTGTTAGAAATATAACAAAAATTTTTAATAAATTATTCATATGACATGATATACTGGTTTAGATACACATCACAAATTTGTAATTTTATATTTTAAATATTTTGTTTAATTTTTTATTATTTCATTAGTTGTTGTTGTTAAGCTTGTTAGTGTCTCAATTACTCTGATCATTGACCCTTTCATTAGTGATGAACTATACCATCAAACTATAATTATAACTATAACTGTTATTGGAACACCCTGTATGTCATAGGAGACATATCTATGACATATGTGTGTATTGCAAATAATTCATGTAGGACATATTAATTAGGAATATTACTGACATATTGATTAGATGTGTTACGGATATGTTGACTAGTCGTGTTATAAATGTATTGATTAGGTTACGAATTTATTGATTAGGCTTGTTGTAAATATATTGATTAATCTTGTTACTGGTGTACTAATTAAACGTATTATATGTGTGATTACACATTATGTGATTATACGTATTACAAATATATTGATTGGATATGTTGCAGATATATTAATTAATCATATAGGTATATTGATAAGACGTATTAAAAATATATTGATTAGAGGTATTGCAGATAGATTGATTAGCCACTGATTGGTACACCAATTAAACATTTTGTTCATATATTGATTAAACTTGATATTACATTCAAGAAATTTACACTGAAAATAATTTCACCATATCTATATACATATTTATGTATGTATGTTCAACATATGTGTAAATGCATTAAAATCTCAATAAATAATAAAATTAGAATAAAAATAAAAAACAAGGAATATAATGATCATAAATTTTTTTGTAAAAGTATACGTAATTTTGAAACTTGAAGTCACTGAAACCTGTTTGAAGGAAAATGTGAAGTTATACGAAACCTTATAATAATTTTCTAGGAAAAAGTAATAATTATATTTGGCGTATTGAATAACATTAATTAAGAAATCAGTGAGTTATGCACTAATACTTTGCACTGATTATGCACTGATACTTTTGAAAGAAAACTTTCGATATCGATGTAGTTACTCAATCATTACTGATTAATACAGTTGAAAATGGTTTAGAAAACAAGGTGTTAAGAAAGAATGATAAGTAGTAATCGTAATAACTGCGAACGAGTTAATAATTGGAAATTAAATTCGATTCAGTTATGAACACATTTCACGCATTTCTTAAATTCACACGTGTGAAGACGTAATAACAATTTCCTTCGTTACTGCAAATTTTTCGGTCTCTCGTTTTAGTTCTTGCAAAAAAAAAATAATACTAAATATTTAAGAATGTAATTTTAAAAATATTTTTTCGTTCTTGATAAACATACAAAAAAAATAATATAATTGCATAACAATATAATGTAAAAAAAAATAATTAAAAATGAAGAACACAATCTTGAAAATAATTTTCAATCTCGTAGTTCAACATAAAAAAAATGTAATATAATTGCATAACAATATAATGTAAAAAAAAATTAATTAAATATTAAGAATGTAATATTGAAAATATTTTCCATTCTCATAAACATAACCTCTTTCAATCATGTAACACAAAGAATTCCAGTATTTATTGATAATATTTATTGAGTGCGAACGAAAAATATTTATTTAAAAAACGTGTTAAGATATCGAGTGTTAATCACAACAATTCATCACTGCCACGTTTAAAACAAAATCGATCAAAGATATTTTTATCTAACAACGCGACGGAAATTGATAGTTAAGTATTTGTTATCGGATACGCACTGATAATATCAAAAGAGTGGAACATATTGGTTGATTAACTAATATCAGTACTTTAATTGACTTTAGCAAAAGTTTGAGAACAAATATTCTTATTACAATTAAATATCGAGTCGTAATCAATTATAATATATAATATAATTAATAATAATATAATTATGTGATTTAATTGTCCTTTAATTTGAGAAAAAATCGACATCTTCAATTTGCACCTCATTGAAATATGAAAATACTGAATTTACTGTTAATTTTCAAGTCTAGACACCGTAATAACATTATTCGGGACATTGACTCTTATAATAATATACATATATGTTAAAATCACTGGGTAAGGCATACATATTCCGCATAATTATTCAAACATCTCTCAAGTTGCTTCAAAGATATTAAAGATGCTTATCTACTTCCCAGCCTAGTCTTCTAAACTGATCAGACTGCATTACTAATGTTCAAATCGCGTGACTCTGCTCTTCAGCGAGAAAGTTAAACAAAAAATAGAACTTTTTAAATTGTTTACCATTTCCATCGCTTACACTCGCATTTTACTTAAATATTGTAATCAGTTATGTGCTACTGGTGTGCATTTACTAACACTTCGAAGTTCTCACGATTCTAATATTATATTCACATCATTTTCAAATTTCTGTCATTTCCCCGAATTCCAAATTTACCGAATTCCAAATTTTCCGAAATCCAAATTCACCGAATTCCAAATTCCCCGAATTCCAAATTCATCGAATTCCAAATTCCCCGAATTCTAAATTCCCCGAATTCCAAATTCAACGAATTCCAAATTCACCGAATTCCAAATTCACCGATTTCCAAATTCCCCGAATTCCAAATTCACCGAATTTCAATTTCACCGAATTCCAAATTCACCGAATTCCAAACTCACCGAATTCCAAACTCACCGAATTCCAAATTCACCGAATTCCAAATTCCCCGAATTTCCACTCCCCCAATTCCCAATTCCCTCAATTCCAAATTCCCCCAATTCCAAAACCCCCAAATTCCAAATCCCCCAAATTTCCAAACCCCCAAATTTCCACTCCCTCAATTCCCAATTCCCCGAATTCCAAATCCCCCAAATTTCCAAACCCCCAAATTTCCACTCCCCTAATTCCAAATTCCCCCAATTCCAAATCCCCCAAATTCCAAACCCCCCAAATTCCAAATTCCCCAAATTTCCAAATCCCCAACTCCTCAAATTCCCGACCTCCCACATCCCCAAACCCCCTATTCCCAAATTCCCAAACTCTCAAAATCTCCCCTCTCCAAACCTTCATCCACCCTCAAATTCCCAACCCAAATTCAAATTTCCCGCGTACGCTCCGTTCATCACATTCCTCGCGTAGCTCAATTGCCCGCGAGTTCCCGTACATTCGATCCGCCCATCGTTATGATACATCGAAACACTGAAGAGAATGAAGCCGAGGCTGATTACAATCGCTCTCGCAGACAATTATCAAACCGCAGCCACCTAACCTAAACCTAACCGTACTCCAGTGTTCCCAACTCGGGTTCCCTATGAGCTTGCTTGTCGACGATGTCTAATCTGTAATCGCGGAGCGCATCGCGTCGTGTTGAGCCCTAAACATCGCTCGTATTTCCACAACTCAATTACGTCGCCGCGAAATTAGCCCTGCAGTGCAGTATATCAAGACTGCATGCCCTTTAGAGTACGAGGATGTGAACTAGCTTCACAATGAGGACTCTCCAACCTAATTAGCGTATTCGCTGGAAAGACATTATCGTTGCTTCAACTTTAAGCATACGATATACGGAATTTTAATTGAGGAGGTGTGGAGATGGGAATTGGAGATGTGGGGAGGTGGGAATTTGTGGATGTAGGTATTTAGGGATGTAGGGAAGAATATGTGGGTATGTGGGATGGGTGTGGGGTTTGGGGGAATAGGGATCTAGGGATGTGGGGATTAAGGTATAGGGAGATGTGGAGAGATGGGTGTCAAGGTAGGTGGAGATGTGGAGAGATAAGTGTCAAGGTTTGGAGTGATGTGGAGTGATAGGTGTCAAGGTATGTAGGAATTTGGAGGTGTAGAGGGCAAAGGGTATAGGGATTTCGGGATGTAGAGATCAAGACTTATAGGGATTTGGAGACGTAGAGATTAAGGCATGTGGAGATGTGGAGAGATGGGTGTCAAGGTAGGTGGAGATGTGGAGAGATAGGTGTCAAGGTTTAGAGAGATGTGGAGAGATAGGTATCAAGGTATGTAGGAATCTAGGGGTGTAGAGGTCAAAGGGTATAGGGATTTCGGGATGTAGAGATCAAGACTTATAGGGATCTGGAGACGTAGAGATTAAGGCATGTGGAGATGTGGAGAGATGGGTGTCAAAGCATATAGGGATGTGGAGAGATTGGTATCAAGGCATATAGGGATCTGGACATGTAGAGATGTGGATAAATAGGTGTCATGGCTTATAGAGATGTGGAGAGATGGGTGTCAAGGTAGGTGGAGATGTGGAGAGATAGGTGTCAAGGTTTAGAGAGATGTGGAGAGATAGGTATCAAGGTATGTAGGAATCTAGGGGTGTAGAGGTCAAAGGGTATAGGGATTTCGGGATGTAGAGATCAAGACTTATAGGGATCTGGAGACGTAGAGATTAAGGCATGTGGAGATGTGGAGAGATGGGTGTCAAAGCATATAGGGATGTGGAGAGATTGGTATCAAGTCATATAGGGATCTGGACGTGTAGAGGTCAAGATATGTTGAGATGTGGATAAATAGGTGTCAAGGCTTATAGAAATGTGGAAAGATAGGTGACAAGGTTTAGAGAGATAAAGGCATGTGGAGATGTGAAGACATAGGTGTCAAGGCACATAGGGATGTGGAGAGATGGGTATCAAGTCATATAGGGATCTGGACGTGTAGAGGTCAAGATATGTTGAGATGTGGATAAATAGGTGTCAAGGCTTATAGAAATGTGGAAAGATAGGTGACAAGGTTTAGAGAGATAAAGGCATGTGGAGATGTGAAGACATAGGTGTCAAGGCACATAGGGATGTGGAGAGATGGGTATCAAGTCATATAGGGATCTGGACGTGTAGAGGTCAAGATATGTGGAGATGTGGATAAATAGGTGTCAAGGCTTATAGAGATGTGGAGAGATAGGTGACAAGGTTTAGAGAGATGTGGAGAGATAGGTACCAAGGCATATAGAGAAATCCAGGGATGTAGAGATCAAAGAGTATAGGGATTTCAGGATGTAGAGATGAAGACATATATGTAGAGATGTGGAGAGATGGGTATCAAGGCGTATAGAGATGTGGAGAGATGCATATCAAGGCATGTAGAGATATGAAGATAGGCAGGTAGCATCTCTAAGGCATGTAGAGATGTAGAGAGATGGGTATCAAGGTATATAAGTATCTAGGGACACTGAGGTCAAGGCATGTCGAGATCTAGTGATATATAAGTCAAGTTTGTTTAAGTTTAAGTTTGAATTTGAAAATTAGGAAATTAGAAATATGGAGATTTTAGGATTTGGATAATTGTGAATATAAAAGTTTTGATATATAAAATTGTATCATAATTGTATATTAATATAATTGACATAATTATACTTGATATAATAATTGATATAATTTATTGATATAATTTATTGATAAAATTTATTGATATAATTTATTGATATAATTTATTGATATAATTATTGATATAATTTTTTGGTATAATTATTGATATAATTATTGATATAATTTATTGATAATAATTATTGATATAATTATTGATATAATTTATTGATATAATTTATTGATATAATTTATTGATATAATTCATTGATAATAATTATTAATATAATTATTGATATAATTTATTGATATAATAATTAATATAATTATACATGAATATATAAAATCAGAATTTCAAAAATTTTGTAAAACATCAAATACAAAAAATGTAGACAACTGCAATAAACAAGTCCCCAAATGCAAATGCAGTAAAAGAAGGATGTTTGTTTCGTAGATCGCAACGGAAGTCGTCAGGGAGAGCGTAAAAGTGGCGGGAACACGCGTCGCCATGGGTACCGTGTGTTGTGGCCTGCGGGTGTAGTGCGAACCCCGTGATCGCGGGGCAGAGTCCGGCGAAAAAGAACGAGAGAAAAACGGGAGAGAAAGGGCGAACGAGGGAAGGAGAGGATAAGGTGAAAGGAACGGGTCGAAGAGGGACACGGAATCGCGTGGACAAGCGGGATCGGCGAAACTTTGAAAGACTGCTCTCTCGTGGCTGACGGCGAAGAGAGGGAAACAGCAGGAAGAGAGAGGGAGAGAAAGAGAGAGAATAATGCGGACTCGTTGCTTCCGCTTTGATCAACAGCACGTTCGGATCTGCTCGTAGTAAGTAGAGAAAAGTGAATTTTTGTTTTATTATTTCGGTGCTGTTGTACTTAAAAGTTGTACTTTTTAACAGAAAATATATATGCATAAGGAAATTATATATACAGAAACATATATGCATAAACAAATTATATATACAGAAACATATGTATATGCATAGACAAATTATATATACAGAAACATAAATGTATAAATAGATTTTTGAATTACATTCAGTTATCAACAAATGAGTTTCCGAACAAATGAGAATAACTTTAATTTAAAAATGTTTACTAAAAAATACGTATAGATTCAATATGTATTGCTTGAGTATTATTTGACCATTTACTACGTATATTTTTAATTGTACAGTCTCCAAATATATGTAGTTTGATTATTGATTTGAAAATTATTGCTTGCATGCAGTCAGACAAGGGACAATCGTACGTATTTTTTAAATACTAATAGCACAAAGACTTGGAATTTTAAGGATGTATGAAGCTAGTAGTGTAGGGATTTAAGAATGTAATAACAACATAGAAATCGAGTAAAGTAGGAATTTAAAGATGTGTAGTATGCGATAGGGATGTAGAGAATCTAGGGTCTTAAAGATACAAAGATGGAGACCTAAGAATAGTTTGAAGATCTGGGAACCCAGTGATGGAAGATATCTAGGGTTAGAGATGTGAAGGTATAAAAATTTGGTGATATGTGATGTTTGAGAATATATATAAAAATTTGAAGTAGTCTAATAATATACTTGAGAGTCCGCAGTAATCTAAAGGAATCTAAAATAATCTGGAGACATATAGTATGTGAGAATATAAAAATCTGAAATAACCTAACTATCAGAGTATACATGAATCTAAAGATCCAGAATCCATAGAAAATAAGAACGTAACATTATTATGAAATACTAAAAAGTAACAGTTCACACGAAATAATCGCCATCAATCTATTTTGAAAGAAGTCTCAAATCAACTCCCAACAATACTCTGATGTGAGAAACAGGAACTGCAGCTGTAAACAAACTCCACGACTTGATGCAAGAGTGATGCAACAATAAGACGCTTCTCGGTGAAAAAATAACAGAAAACTTGACGAATGTAACCGCTTGAAAATTACGTCACATTATAGAAAGCCGTATCGGCTAGCGGGAATCGATCGGTAAAGGCAGCTTAGGATCTCGTTAAACGTTCTTCATCGATTCTCGAACAGGTATCGAAAAAGTCGTTCGAATCCGGTTCTGCGTCGACGTAAGATGAGTTCCTCGCCATAAAAAGGTTAAAAATAACGCGTGGAAACTGCGGTGAGGACAATTGACCGCAAAGTTAACCGCGGGTCGAAAGAAAAATTGACGGACCGCCATTATGCTCTGTGACCCCGTTTATCGTTTACTATACTGTGGAGGCCACCATTTCAGTTAGGGAACAAAATTTCAATTACTTTCCCATGGTTAGAATTATTTTTGTCATTAGGGTTATTCCTTATTGTAGAATCAAGGATAATCTTAAGTTCAGTAATTTGGAAATTATGGGATTTTTGGTTATTATGTGGAATTTGGGGGAGTGGGAATTTGGGGAATTTGGAAATCGGAGGATTTGGAATTTGGGGGAGTGGAAATTTGGGGAATTTGGAATTCGGAGGAGGAATTGGGGGAATTGGGAATTGGGGGAATTGGGAATTGGGGGAATTGGGAATTGGGGGAATTGGGAATTGGGGGAATTGGGAATTGGGGGAATTGGGAATTGGGGGAATTGGGAATTGGGGGAATTGGGAATTGGGGGAATTGGGAATTGGGGGAATTGGGAATTGGGGGAATTGGGAATTGGGGGAATTGGGAATTGGGGGAATTGGGAATTGGGGGAATTGGGAATTGGGGGAATTGGGAATTGGGGGAATTGGGAATTGGGGGAATTGGGAATTGGGGGAATTGGGAATTGGGGGAATTGGGAATTGGGGGAATTGGGAATTGGGGGAATTGGGAATTGGGGGAATTGGGAATTGGGGGAATTGGGAATTGGGGGAATTGGGAATTGGGGGAATTGGGAATTGGGGGAATTGGGAATTGGGGGAGTGGAAATTTAGGGGTTTGGAAATTTGGGGAATTTGGAATTTGGAAGATTTGGAATTTGGGGAATTTGGAATTTAGGGAATTTGGAATTCGGGGAATTTGGAATTCGGGAAATTTAGAATTTGGGAGAGTGGAAATTTGGGGAATTGGGAATTCGGGAAATTTGGAATTCGGTGAATTTGAAATTCGGGAAATTAGAAATCCGAGGAATTTGGAATTTTTCCTTATTCCAAAATCAAGATCCTCTTCTGAAGACACTTATTCTCTATAAGCAAATGACTATCACTAAATTAAGTGGAAGCTACCAACTTACTGTTAGTTTAACCCTTAACTTACTGCGGTTATGCGTTAACGAGTGTAATAGTTTGAGGTTAGGTTAAGAGCCGAGGCATAGCTCCCTGCAGCTACACTTTGATGCAACCCTCTGCAATTTTCAGTATAATTGCAATTTGAGAGTTAAGACTTTATATAAATTTTTTCGTGTGAGATCATAAGCAAATTTTACGTCCAAACAAAGGTCCCATATTCAAGGATATAACAGAGTTTGGACTATAGTACTATAGGCCAATAGAAAGTACATACAATACAGGTCGTGACAAGACCTATAAACCGTTACGACACGGCTCGTTCATTCAAATACCTACTTACGTTCCGTTTCTGATCGATAAGGATTCTTTCGACGCGTTTCGTGTCTGCGATGTTTAACTTCAGGGAAAGTTACGATTATGTTAAACTCATTTTGCTCTTGTCTCGTTTTCCTTCGATTTTATTTCAGTTTCACGCCGAAGAATGTCTTGCATTATTCATGGGAGATAAAGTCTTTATAAAGTAATCCCTCGTCATAATTCGGTAATTCTGGAACGTTAACATTTGGTATCGTGTTACTCGTGACCGATGTTTGAATTGTTATCTTCTACTTATCTAATTACGAATAACTGTATCCGGGAATTATGAAATGTCTTGAAAATTCAAGGTCTGTTAAATATATTTGACGAAGATTTAAAAGCAATGTGGCTGCCAACGTGTTTGGTGCGATGAAAAATCTTTAGACATAGGTTGACACATTTTTGCTTAAAGAAATATATAAAATGTTTATGTCCCTCAATTTTAAAAAATCTTTAATGATAAACATTGAAAATCTTTAATGGTGAAGATGAACAAATTTTTAGTGACAAAGGTTGAACAATCTTTAATAGCAAAAATTGATTAATCTTCATAAATGTTGAATGCTCCTTAATGATAAAAATTGAAGAACCAAAACTAATGGTATCTAATTTTGTACCAGATAATTTATGATTCATAGACACCTATTGCAATTATTATTGTTGCTTACCCATTGAAATGTGAACGAATAGAAATATTTTTACTAAAATTGAATAAAGTAGAATGAGCAAAATGTGAACCTATTTTTGTCAGATTAAATATTTTTGAAGACAACAAATTTACAATGTGTACAATAAATAAAGTAACGACACGAAAGAGAATTTTCGAGAGAAAAGCAGTGAAAGAATAAAAGTTAGAGGATCACTTTGACGAGATGGATTGTTCGAGTGTTAATTATGGTCGTGCTATTCATCCACGCCATGGGTCACGAGTCAGGCGACGCGAAACGTAAATATACGCTAAGCACATAACGACGAGTCGTTTGAAAATCTCTGGGGTTTCTTGAGTAATTCAACTTTGATTGAATAATTTACGAAGATAGGTTGGGAACAGATGGGGTCAGTAATGAGAAAATAATTGCACTTTGTCAGAGTTTTCTGGAAGGCTGCTGAATTGTTTGATTTGGACGAACGATGAATTAACAGGCTCGCTTTCTCGAAAATGGAATTCGGGGAATTTGGAATTTGGGGGATTTGGAATTTGGGGAATTTGGAATTTGGAGAATTTGGAATTTGGGGGAGTGGGAATTTGGGGAATTTGGAATTGGGGGAATTGGGAGTTGGGGGAGTGGAAATTTGAGGAATTTGGAATTTGGGGGATTTGGAATTCAGAGGTTGGAATTCGGGGAATTTGGAATTCGGGAAATTTAGAATTTGGGGAATTGGGAATTCGGGAAATTGGGAATTCGAGGCATTTGGAATTCGGGGAATTTGGAATTCGGGAAATTTAGAATTTGGGGAATTGGGAATTCGGGAAATTGGGAATTCGAGGCATTTGGAATTCGGGGAATTTGGAATTCGGGAAATTTAGAATTTGGGGGAGTGGAAATTTGGGGAATTGGGAATTTGGGGAATTTGGAATTTGGGGGATTTGGAATTTGGGGGATTTGGAATTCGGGGAATTTGGAATTCGGGAAATTTAGAATTTGGGGAATTGGGAATTCGGGAAATTGGGAATTCGAGGCATTTGGAATTCGGGGAATTTGGAATTCGAGGAATTTGGATTTCAGGGAATTTGGAATTCGGAGGATTTGGAATTTGGAGGAGTGGGAATTTGGAGAATTTGGAATTCGGGAAATTTAGAATTTGGGGAATTTGGAATTCGGTGAATGCGGAATTCGAAAAAGAAATTGAATTCCATGCGAAAAAGGACCGACTTAAAAAACGGGCAAAATACGATATTTTATAGGTCGTTTGAATTTATGAATATGTTTGTAAAACAATATTTCAGTAAAAGTCCGCTCCCGAAAGTTTTAATTAAACAGGTTTCTCATTGTGAGAACTTCTTGATTGTAATCGGGCTGTTGAATATTTTTGTGTAATGGAAACTTCAAGGTTGTGAAGGGAAAGTATTTCTGGTTGTTAAATGTATTTTTTAGGAAAAATATAAATGATGTATATCGATGAAATTAAATTATGATAAATATAGAACAATAATTTAAAAAAAAAATAAAAAGTATAAATTACAAATGATAAACTGTAATATACAGGTTCATAAATATTAAAATAATATTGTAAACAATTTTTAAACAGTATTTAAGAGAAGAAATATTGAAAATAAAGAG